TACCTGAGGTACCCCCCAGGTTGTGCACTGGTACCTGAGGTACCCCCCAGGTTGTGCACTGGTACCTGAGGTACCCCCCAGGTTGTGCACTGGTACCTGAGGTACCCCAGGTTGTGCACTGGTACCTGAGGTACCCCCCAGGTTGTGCACTGGTACCTGAGGTACCCCCCAGGTTGTGCACTGGTACCTGAGGTACCCCCCAGGTTGTGCACTGGTACCTGAGGTACCCCCCAGGTTGTGCACTGGTACCTGAGGTACCCCCCAGGTTGTGCACTGGTACCTGAGGTACCCCCCAGGTTGTGCACTGGTACCTGAGGTACCCCCCAGGTTGTGCACTGGTACCTGAGGTACCCCCCAGGTTGTGCACTGGTACCTGAGGTACCCCCCAGGTTGTGCACTGGTACCTGAGGTACCCCCCAGGTTGTGCACTGGTACCTGAGGTACCCCCCAGGTTGTGCACTGGTACCTGAGGTACCCCCCAGGTTGTGCACTGGTACCTGAGGTACCCCCCAGGTTGTGCACTGGTACCTGAGGTACCCCCCAGGTTGTGCACTGGTACCTGAGGTACCCCCCAGGTTGTGCACTGGTACCTGAGGTACCCCCCAGGTTGTGCACTGGTACCTGAGGTACCCCCCAGGTTGTGCACTGGTACCTGAGGTACCCCCCAGGTTGCGCACTGGTACCTGAGGTACCCCCCAGGTTGCGCACTGGTACCTGAGGTACCCCCAGGTTGCACACTGGTACCTGAGGTACCCCCCAGGTTGCGCACTGGTACCTGAGGTACCCCCCAGGTTGCGCACTGGTACCTGAGGTACCCCCCAGGTTGCGCACTGGTACCTGAGGTACCCCCCAGGTTGCGTACTGGTACCTGAGGTACCCCCCAGGTTGCGTACTGGTACCTGAGATACCCCAGGTTGCGTACTGGTACCTGAGATACCCCAGGTTGCGTACTGGTACCTGAGATACCCCAGGTTGCGTACTGGTACCTGAGATACCCCAGGTTGCGTACTGGTACCTGAGATACCCCAGGTTGCGTACTGGTACCTGAGATACCCCAGGTTGCGTACTGGTACCTGAGATACCCCAGGTTGCGTACTGGTACCTGAGATACCCCAGGTTGCGTACTGGTACCTGAGATACCCCAGGTTGCGTACTGGTACCTGAGATACCCCAGGTTGCGTACTGGTACCTGAGATACCCCAGGTTGCGTACTGGTACCCGAGATACCCCAGGTTGCGTACTGGTACCTGAGATACCCCAGGTTGCGTACTGGTACCTGAGATACCCCAGGTTGCGTACTGGTACCTGAGATACCCCAGGTTGCGTACTGGTACCTGAGATACCCCAGGTTGCGTACTGGTACCTGAGATACCCCAGGTTGCGTACTGGTACCTGAGATACCCCAGGTTGCGTACTGGTACCTGAGATACCCCAGGTTGCGTACTGGTACCTGAGATACCCCAGGTTGCGTACTGGTACCTGAGATATCCCAGGTTGCGTACTGGTACCTGAGATACCCCAGGTTGTGTACTAGTACCAGGGTGTTAAACAGGTTATCTTTATCTATCCTGTTAATTCCAATGAGAATGTTGTAGGTAGTGATCATGTCCCCCCTGACCTTCCCTGTCTTCCAGCAACGTGAGGTGCAGTTTTCCATCAGCCTTTCCTCGTAACTCATGTCTCTTAGTTCTGGGACTAGCCTAGTGGCATAATACTGAACATTTCCAGCTCGGCCTTGTGCTTGACAAGATCCGGGCTCCATGCTGGGGCCGCATGCTCCAGGATTGGTCTCACATATGTGGTATACAAGGTTCTGAAGGAAGTTGTGCACTAGTACCAGGGTAACCCAGGTAGTGTGGTAATGACCATATATATATATATATATATATATATATATATATATATATATATAAGTATTATATATATATATATATTTATATAATTCATATATTGTTTCCATACATCTTTTTAATTCATAATTGTTTATTCTTTCACACACTGGTAACACGAAGTGCAACAGTAACAGTATTAGTAACAGCAACAGTTACATTAGTAACTAACAGTTGAAGTAACGGTAACAATTGTAATAATAAGACAATCAATGAGTATACTCCCCCCTCCCCCCTCAAGCACAGTCCCTAAGTCACTTGACCACGATACGCTCAAAGTAATGCCACCCGGTACAGTATTCAACAGCATCTCTCTCTAGGGAGGTTGCCGAGGTCTCGTGTGAACCCCCCCCCCCACAAGTCAGGGTTTCCGACACTACCTACACACACACTCTGGCTGTGGTCCCGGAGTTCTACCCTCCTGACGCTTCTCTTCCAATACACAGAGAAATCACAACTGAATGTATCGACGAGAAAAAATCAGTTATATACAACACAGAAATCACAAATAGCGTGTTGCATCAAATGAACAAATCCACAAAGGCGGTGATGAGGGGTTCGAACCTACGTCCGTCCTCTCGGGCGTTGGTTCGAAACCATCATCACGGCCCCTGGTGGATTTGTTCAATCAGTTATATACTTTCCACGTTATTTTCAGCATAGCGTGGCCTAGTGGTTCAGTGACTGTGCTTGGGGAGAACACGCAGTGTGTACAGGTTCGAACCCTCCTCATGGCTCCTACTGATGTCATCAGTAACAACAGTAGTAATAGTGACGTCAGTAACAGTGAATGATACCTGTTGTTTACACATGGTACCGTTATAATTGTTACCATTCAACAGAGAATCAAATTTAAATTGTGAGACCTAATGACTTACTGTACATTAATCTCAAAAAATAAATGACATTATATGTACTACATCTTTTAGAAACTGAAAGAATTGTTGTACAGCAACAGATTCAGGGGTTAATGTGCCTCCCACTTGGCTCACACAGCTCCCCTAACAGGGGGAACTGATCCCACTTGGCTCACACAGCTCCCCTAACAGGGGGAACTGATCCCACTTGGCTCACACAGCTCCCCTAACAGGGGGAACTGATCCCACTTGGCTCACACAGCTCCCCTAACAGGGGGAACTGATCCCACTTGGCTCACACAGCTCCCCTAACAGGGGGAACTGATCCCACTTGGCTCACACAGCTCCCCTAACAGGGGAAACTGATCCCACTTGGCTCACACAGCTCCCCTAACAGGGGAAACTGATCCCACTTGGCTCACACAGCTCCCCTAACAGGGAGAACTGATCCCACTTGGCTCACACAGCTCCCCTAACAGGGGGAAGTGATCCCACTTGGCTCACACAGCTCCCCTAACAGGGGGAAGTGATCCCACTTGGCTCACACAGCTCCCCTAACAGGGGGAACTGATCCCACTTGGCTCACACAGCTTCCCTAACAAGGGGAACTGATCCCACTTGGCTCACGTAGCTCACGTGACTGTAACCTAAATTAAACTGCTTGTCAACAAGTCATATCTTTGCGTCAATAATTCCTTAATAATGTCAAGTATCCAGCTGCGAGGGGTCTCCCTGCTTACCCCCGATGACGTGTTTGATATCATCCTGGAGAATACTAGTATCAAGTCAAAACTGGCTAATATACAATGATATCAGAGTTAAATCCCATGTAGAGGAAATATTGGGTTTCAAAGGAAGATTTTGCCCACAGACGCCACACACACTGATGAAAGGCTCAGAGAGCAGAATGTTGGGACCGACCCTAGCTAGTACAGAAAGGGAATTGAGGTTTATTGGGATGTCAATATCAATTGAAAATCAAGGCATATCATCATGGTGGGTCTACTACAATGGACATTCAATATTTTGGTTAAGGAGGGGAAAAAGGTAATTATTTGACTAGATATAAGATAATTTGGAATGTTTATATATATACGTATTGGACATAATTGGTGTGAGAATAGTTTGGTGTACATAGGATCAACAATCAGGAGACCTGCTGAATTTTCTTGATACCACGTTTCCAGTGTCCCTACATACATACACTCAGTGTGTTTGGGCATATATATATATATATATATATATATATATATATATATATATATATATATATATATATATATATATATATATATATATATATATATATATATATATATATATATATATATATATATATATATATATATATATATATATATATATATATATATATATATATATATATATATATATATATATATATATATATATATGTCGTACCTAGTAGCCAGAACGCACTTCTCAGCCTACTATGCAAGGCCCGATTTACCTAATAAGCCAAGTTTTCATGAATTATTGTTTTTCGACTACCTAACCTACCTAACCTAACCTAGCTTTTTCGGCTACCTAACCTAACCTAACCCATAAAGATAGGTTAGGTTAGGTAGGGTTGGTTAGGTTCGGTCATATATCTACGTTAATTTTAACTCCAATAAAAAAAATTTACCTCATACATAATGAAATGGGCAGCTTTATCATTTCATAAGAACAAAATTAGAGAAAATATATTAATTCAGAAAAATTGGCTTATTAGGCAAATCGGGCCTTGCATAGTAGGCTGAGAAGTGCGTTCTATATACTAGGTACGACATATATATATATATATATATATATATATATATATATATATATATATATATATATATATATATATATATATATATATATATATATATATATATATACTATCATTGAGCCTAAATGCATTCACCCAATGTCTATAGTGAACAAGCGACGCGTTCGTGTTGAGTTCCATCAGTAGTTAGCTTGGGTCTCAAGTTCAAGAATTGCTTTTAAAACATGACCGATTTAATAACATTTTAATTTCTGTATCTCATTAAAAGAATTGCAAGTTTGTTAAGACATTCACGTGGACTACGGTCCCCCAGACGTGGCGGGACACTATGTGGATCTGATAAATCTCATTTGGACAACTTGTCCAATTACGGTACAGTTGAGACGCAACAGTAGTACACAACGGTGTCTTGTGAGGTAACAGTGGTTACAGCAGTGTGTTCAAAGTTTAGGAATCGTGGGGAAATAAGAGAGCTTCGTAAGTCAATGTTTTTAATAAATATAATCTATACAATATGTACATGGTATTAAAGCTTGGGAAGAACTGTACAAAGGCACTGAGGTGTGTGGGGACGCGGGAGGCGCCTATCTGCTCATAATGTCAGCGATGGAGAAGCCGAGTCTCTTGGGCGGCGTCACTACTGCTACTACAGGCAGCTCCTCCTCCTCCGTCAGCGTCTGCATCACGTCGTCTTCCACCACGTCGTCATCGTCGTCACAGTGAAGCACGTCAACCACCTCGTCCGCGTCAGGGGCGTGGCAGGTGGGCAGGGAGGGCGTGGTGCGAGGTAGGGAGGTAAGGGCGGGCATGGGCGTGGGGGGCGCGTCGTGGGCGTGCTGGGCCTTGTGGACGGCCAGCGTGCGCGCCTGGCAGAAGCCCTTGCCACACACTTCACACTTGAAGGGCTTGTCCTTGCTGTGGATGTACTTGTGGTCGCGGAGGTGGTCTTGTCTCCTGAAGGCCTTGCCGCAGATGTCGCAAGGGAAGGGCCGCTCGTCCGTGTGTGTTCTCTCGTGGATCAGCAGGTTGTAGCTCTTGGTAAACTCCCGTTGACAATACTTGCAGATGTATCGCTTCTTGGGTCGGCTGAGGCGTCCCCCAGGAGTCAACAGGAGACGGTTGAGTGCCAGGTCGCCGGCGCCCAGAGCCGCCCACGGCAGCTGACCCAGGGACCCATAGTTCTGCAGCATCCCCATCAATCTGGGGTCCATCCCCAGGGGCGCCGTCGGCTGCTTCACACTCGTGGCGCCCATTGATGGCAGGAACGGTAGTGACTGGAACAAGGGGAAGGGAGGTGGCACTCGAGACAACGGAGTGAAGGCAGACCCCAGAGCACCTGGAGTGAACTTAGCACCGACGCCAGACACGTTTGGAGGAGACGCTACCATGGTTGCGCTCTCTCTCGTCACCAAATAGATAATGTAGTACAGTCGGTGGACGCAGGAGACTTTATACGGATGAGAAGCGCCGGGGGCAGAGGGGCTGGCCATTGGCTGCTGAGGAGCAGCGGGGATCGGCGCTACTGGTTGTAGAAAGAGGCTGGGCGGAGCCTTAAAGAGCGATCGCCCTGATTGGTCGAGATGGCCTCAGGAGGCGGAGTGGAAGTCAAGCGCTGGGCGTGACCAGAGAGCCGGAGTTGCTCTCCTCACGGGTTCCGACCATCAGCTTGCGACCTGCCCGCGGTCTAATTCTTATTTTCTCACACCGCTGAACCTGCCTGTTTACAGCCTTCCTTACATTGTGTGCGCTGGTCTCTGGGGTTGACACGCTTTGCTCTTCAAAGCCGAGACTTCCTCCTCGGACGAGGAAGAGCGGCATAAGCTCTTCACTTCAGTATCGTCCGGTGCACCGTGATTAGTCACAGTATCAGCGACGGCGGCCGCGCGGCTTTCATAGATAACCAGATACGAGCACATTATCCTCCACCCAGCCAGAGAGGACACCCACGCTCCTCCCCACGAACCCCCAATAAACGAACCTCCTCCCCATGCACGAATCCCCTACCCCAGGAACCCCAAAATTCTCATCCCTTATTCCCCATAATCGCCTGGGGTCCGCTGAGACCTCTCCCCCCCCCAAGAGGGCCCCCTTCAGCAGCCCCAACTCCCTCAGCTGCTTCTTGTTCACAGTCATCCGTTCCTGGACTCTTAAGTCATTGTTACATTGGCACTTACAGTGTCACACGTCACAGCACCTCCAGTGTCACACGTCACCGCACCTCCAGTGTCACACGTCACCGCACCTCCAGTGTCACACGTCACCACAGTTCCAGTGTCACACGTCACCTCCAGTGTCACACGACACCTCCAGTGTCACACGACACCTCCAGTGTCACACGACACCTCCAGTGTCACACGACACCTCCAGTGTCACACGACACCTCCAGTGTCACACGACACCTCCAGTGTCACACGACACCACACCTCCAGTGTCACACGACACCACACCTCCAGTGTCACACGACACCACACCTCCAGTGTCACACAACACCACACCTCCAGTGTCACACGACACCACACCTCCAGTGTCACACGACACCACACCTCCAGTGTCACACGACACCACACCTCCAGTGTCACACGACACCACACCTCCAGTGTCACACATGTCGCCACACATTATCGGCATATCAACATCGCTTCCCCAACAATGATGCTATACATTGCCTCCACAAAAGCACGACACGTCGATAGCACGAAAGCACGACGCGTCCCCTCTACAAAAGCACAACACGTCGCTTCCACAAGAGCACGACACGACGTCGCCTGCACGAAAGCACGACACGTCGTCACCTCTACACTTGCACGAAACATCACCGCATCAGCAGCCTACGTTATGACTTGCCCAAAACAGCTTCACTGACATATATAGAGCGACAAGCGGATCCCGTTCCTCGGTGTATACACGCGGAGTTTACCTAGTCCCGGCCTGTGTTCCGCGCTAAGGTGTACCTGCTGGCCGGCCAGTAAGCCAATGTCTCCAGGCGTTGATAGGTTTTTAGGGCCAACATCACGCCAAAAACGGAGACTCAGTTTAGAGCTGCTCTGAGGTCTCTTGTCGTGCCGCGGAGGGCTTGACGGGACACTCTTGGCTAGGTGGTGGGTAGTGTGGGGGTGTACAGTGTGGGGGGTGTACAGTGTGGGGGGTGTACAGTGTGGGGGTGTACAGTGTGGGGGGTGTACAGTGTGGGGGGTGTACAGTGTGGGGGTGTACAGTGTGTGGGGTGTACAGTGTGGGGGTACAATGTGGGGTGTGCAGTGTGTGGGGTGTATAGTGTGGGGTGTACAGTGTGGGGTGTACAGTGTGTGGGGTGTACAGTGTGTGGGGTGTGCAGTGTGTGGGGTGTACAGTGTGTGGGGTGTACAGTGTGTGGGGTGTACAGTGTGTGGGGTGTACAGTGTGTGGGGTGTACAGTGTTTGGGGTGTACAGTGTGGGGGGTGTACAGTGTGTGGGGGTGTACAGTGTGGGGGGGTGTACAGTGTGGGGGGTGGGTACAGTGTGGGGGGGTGTACAGTGTGAGGGGGGGTGGGGGGGTACAGTACAGTGTAGGGGGTATACAGTGTGGGGGGTGTACAGTGTGGGAGTGTACAGTGTGGGGGGTGTACAGGGGGGGGTGTACAGTGTTTGGGGTGTACAGTGTTTGGGGTGTACAGTGTAGGGGGGTGTACAGTGTGGGGGTGTACAGTGTGAGGGGGTGTACAGTGTGGGGGGTGTACAGTGTGGGGGGTGTACAGTGTGGGGGGGTGTACAGTGTGGGGGGGTGTACAGTGTGGGGGGGTGTACAGTGTGAGGGTACAGGGGGGGGTGTACAGTGTGGGGGGGGTGTACAGTGTGGGGGGTGTACAGTGTGAGGGGGGTGTACAGTGTGGGGGGTGTACAGTGTGGGGGGTGTGTACAGTGTAGGGGGGTGTACAGTGTGGGGGGTGTACAGTGTAGGGGGGTGTACAGTGTGGGGGGTGTACAGTGTGGGGGGGTGTACAGTGTGGGGGGTGTACAGTGTGAGGGGGGGTGTACAGGTGGGGGGTGTACAGTGTGGGGGGTGTACAGTGTGAGGGGGTGTACAGTGTGGGGGGTGTACAGTGTGGGGGGTGTACAGTGTGAGGGGGTGTACAGTGTGAGGGGGGTGTACAGTGTGGGGGGTGTACAGTGTGGGGGGTGTACAGTGTGGGGGGTGTACAGTGTGAGGGGGTGTACAGTGTGGGGGGGTGTACAGTGTGGGGGGGGGGGGGTGTACAGTGTGGGGGGTGTACAGTGTGAGGGGGTGTACAGTGTGGGGGGGTGTACAGTGTGGGGGGGTGTACAGTGTGAGGGGGGTGTACAGTGTGGGGGGGTGTACAGTGTGAGGGGGGTGTACAGTGTGGGGGGGGTGTACAGTGTGAGGGGTGTACAGTGTGGGGGGGTGTACAGTGTGGGGGGGGTGTACAGTGTGGGGGGGTGTACAGTGTGGGGGGGTGTACAGTGTGGGGGGGTGTACAGTGTGGGGGGGGTGTACAGTGTGGGGGGGTGTACAGTGTGGGGGGGTGTACAGTGTGGGGGGGTGTACAGTGTGAGGGGGTGTACAGTGTGGGGGGTGTACAGTGTGGGGGGTGTACAGTGTGGGGGGTGTACAGTGTGGGGGGGGGTGTACAGTGTGGGGGGGTGTACAGTGTGGGGGGGTGTACAGTGTGGGGGGGTGTACAGTGTGAGGGGGGGTGTACAGTGTGAGGGGGTGTACAGTGTGAGGGGGTGTACAGTGTGGGGGGTGTACAGTGTGAGGGGGTGTACAGTGTGAGGGGGTGTACAGTGTGGGGGGGGGTGTACAGTGTGGGGGGGGGGTACAGTGTGACAGTGGGGGGGTGTACAGTGTGGGGGTGTACAGTGTACAGTGTGGGGGGGTGTACAGTGTGGGGGGTGTACAGTGTGGGGGGTGTACAGTGTGGGGGGGTGTACAGTGTGAGGGGGGTGTACAGTGTGGGGGGGGTGTACAGTGTGAGGGGGTGTACAGTGTGGGGGGGTGTACAGTGTGGGGGGTGTACAGTGTGGGGGGTGTACAGTGTGAGGGGGTGTACAGTGTGAGGGGGTGTACAGTGTGGGGGGTGTACAGTGTGGGGGGTGTACAGTGTGGGGGGTGTACAGTGTGGGGGGTGTACAGTGTGGGGGGTGTACAGTGTGGGGGGGTGTACAGTGTGGGGGGTGTACAGTGTGGGGGGGTGTACAGTGTGGGGGGTGTACAGTGTGGGGGGGTGTACAGTGTGGGGGGGTGTACAGTGTGGGGGGGTGTACAGTGTGGGGGGTGTACAGTGTGGGGGGGTGTACAGTGTGAGGGGGGTGTACAGTGTGGGGGGGGTGTACAGTGTGGGGGTGTACAGTGTGGGGGGTGTACAGTGTGGGGGGTGTACAGTGTGGGGGGTGTACAGTGTGGGGGATCACCTGGTGTACAGTGTGAGGGTGTACAGTGTGGGGGATCACCTGGTGTACAGTGTGGGGGATGTACAGTGTGGGGGGTGTACAGTGTGGGGGGTGTACAGTGGGGGGGGGCTGTACAGTGTGGGGGCTGTACAGTGTGGGGGGTGTACAGTGTGTGGGGTGTACAGTGTGGGGGGGTGTACAGTGTGGGGGGGGCTGTACAGTGTGGGGGGGCTGTACAGGGTGGGGGGGGGTGTACAGTGTGGGGGTGTACAGTGTGGGGGGTGTACAGTGTGGGGGGTGGGGGGGTGTACAGTGTGGGGGGTGTACAGTGTGGGGGGTGTACAGTGTGGGGGGTGTACAGTGTGGGGGGTGTACAGTGTGGGGGGTGTACAGTGTGGGGGGTGTACAGTGTGGGGGGTGTACAGTGTGGGGGGTGTACAGTGTGGGGGGTGTACAGTGTGGGGGGTGTACAGTGTGGGGGGTGTACAGTGTGGGGGTGTACAGTGTGGGGGCTGTACAGTGTAAGGGGGTGTACAGTGTGGGGTGTACAGTGTGGGGGGTGTACAGTGTGGGGGGTGTACAGTGTGGGGGGTGTACAGTGTGGGGGGGTGTACAGTGTGGGGGGGTGTACAGTGTGGGGGGGTGTACAGTGTGGGGGGTGTACAGTGTGAGGGGGGTGTACAGTGTGGGGGGTGTACAGTGTGGGGGGTGTACAGTGTGGGGGGTGTACAGTGTGAGGGATGTACAGTGTGGGGGGGGGGTGTACAGTGTGGGGGGGGTGTACAGTGTGGGGGGTGTACAGTGTGGGGGATGTACAGTGTGGGGGGTGTACAGTGTGGCGGGTGTACAGTGTGGGGGGTGTACAGTGTGGGGGGTGTACAGTGTGGGGGTTTATAGTTTACAGTGTGGGGGTTTACAGTTTACAGTGTGGGGGTTTACAGTTTACAGTGTGGGGGTTTACAGGGGCCTCGTAGCCTGGTGGATAGCACGCAGGACTCGTAATTCTGTGGCGCGGGTTCGATTCCCGCACGAGGCAG